ACATAAATAGGGCTTTGTCTACACTGGCGCTTTGTCGGTAAAACTTTTGTCGTTCGGGGGGGGGAGAGTGAATGTAAAGTACCGGTGTGACCAGTGCTTTGCTGGCCGACAAACAGCAGCTACGCTGCACGTGGCTGTGGCTGCACAGCCATGTTGTTAAAAGCCTGGTAGTGTAGCCATAGCCTAGTTCTCACCTGGCTACATGACACTGCCCTCAGTGTGTGGGGGTGGAGGTGTCAGTGGAGAGGCACTGCCCCAGAGTTGTCTGGGCTGTCTGTTGCTGAGAGGGGTGCCTGTTTCTAGGGGGTCGGAAGCCTTCCTTTGAAGGCACCCATTCCAGGAGGAAATTGCAGCACTTCCCCCTGCCCCTGGTCTCCAGGCTTGTCCATGTGGCCTGGAGGCACAGTTCAGGCCCCATATTACCCTTATATGGCGTCCTATGCAGTTCAATGTGCAGATCTTTCAGACAAGTCCTTAAAAATCAGCATGCTGTCTCTGCCTCGGGGGTGGGTGTTCAAGGTTGCCTGGCATTTCTCGGTAAGGCCAGCTGTACACTTAAACTTAGGCTGACCTAGCTACGGCGCTCTGGGAGTGAAAAATCCACCCTCCTGAGTGCTGTAGCTGTAGACAGGGTAGATGCAGCTAGGTCCATGGAAGAATGCTTCTGTTGACCTAGCTACCGTGGCTTGGGGAGGTGGCTTCCTTCCATTGCTGTAGTCTGTCTCTACACTATGGGGTTATAGTGCTGCTATAGCACCTGTAGTGTAGATGTGGCCTACGAGTTGGTGTTTTAGCTATGGGAGCTTGGGCCAGAGTTTCCCTATCCTTGTTGCCTGGCTACTGTGCTCCACCCCAGAAGCGGTTACATTTCAGAGGTGGGGGAAGTGATTTGTGAATATACCATTTGCTAAGTGCTTTGGGTTCCTTTATGGTGATCAGATGTGATCCGAGAAATGTGAGATTGTTATAATTAGTACTATTGCCGGGGCTGGTGGCTCTTGGAATCAGTTAACTCAGCACCCAAGAAGCTTTGCAGTTAAACACGTGCATTGATCTCTTCCTGCTGCTTCTACGCAGCCATGTTAGTCTGCACAATGTGTATATACAGCCGCACAAACATTCCTCTAGGCTAGTACCTTGCAGAGCCCTGGGTGTGAAGGGAGGAGGGGTTAGGACCTCAAACGCTGCCTGCGAAACAAACAGCAAGGGCAACTTGAACCTGGCACCCGCTCAGCTGGAGAGAGCTCCGTGGGCTGCTTAGAATTGCACTTACCATCCGGAGCAGGAGCCAAGGCCTTGCTTGAGTTACCCGGTGCGCCAGAAAGGAGCTGGCAGGGCTGCTGCTGTGATGGTGCTGCTAAGGGCAATCTGTCAAGGGCCCTAGTGTGGTTCCATCAGTGCTGTGTTACCCTACGTGGTCCTGGTGGTGCTTTCACTGTGGGCTCTTGGGGGAGGGGAAAGCGGGGGTGAGTGTGATTCCATGCTGCTGGCGAGAAGAGAGGCTGAAAAGGCCTCTGCAGAGACTGAACGTGTGGGCAGTGCCTGCTCTGAAACCTCCCCACCCCCTCACCTGGAGCTCTGCCAGCCCTGCTCTCTGCCTTGCAAATGCTGAATTGTTGTCAAGGGATGCTGAGGTAGGTCTCGGGGTGGGGCTAACACTGGCACCAGTGAAGTCAACGTCGCAGTAACCCCCTCGCTGTGCAAAACCTCCCTCTTCCCTCAAAACTGGTGGGAAATCAAGAGCACCAGTGCTCCATTGGCTGGTGCTTTCAGGCACCTGGCCCTGACCTTGCAGTGGAGGGAGCTGTTGTGGAAGTGTACGGCCCAGCAGCAGGCCTGAAGAAAGGGAGGGAGCTGGCTTTGGAGCTCCACATTGGAACCTGTCCGGGAGCAGAGCATGGATGATTGGCTTGGCTGAAGACCTGGAGCTGAAGTCCTGGTGTGTTTGGTTTCTCCTCAGTGACACTGGCCATGTGCCCTGTCCAGAGGGGCAGTGCAATGCAGCCCCTCTCCGAGTGCACAGAGAGATGGGTTGGAGGAGGTCTGAGGGCTGGTTGGAGGACAAGGAGAGAGGCTGTTGATATCATTAGGCTGGTTGGAGTGGGCTTCTCCTGCCGGTGGTAATTGGAGCTCCCCAGGAGGGGGAAGGGGCACTGTCACATGTTAGCTGTGCAGGTTGAATGAGGGACTCTCTAGTCCTTTTGTACAGTGACCCCATCCCCAGGGGGCCTCAGAATCCTTTGCTCTGGTTTCCTTGGCACCTTGAAGGAGGCATCATGGGAATCTGCTGAGTGTTGTGAGAACCAGGCTGGTGTGTCAAGGAAATCTGCTATTAAGTGGCTGAGAAAACCTGACTCCCAGAATATGGGAGCCAGGGAGTGGGAGGTGGCAGGATCACGCCCCTGGATGACTGGTGGGAGCTGGGAGGGAAGTTGTGCCCCCAACTGAGAATGAAATGACTCCGGGTGGCGCGGGGGAGGAGGAGTGGGAGTCTTTGTGTTGCTGGTTTCCTGCCTCTGTCCCGGTAATTGCTGGGTTCACCATGCAAGGTTGGACTGCTGTCCCATTAGATTCTGTCTCCGCACATCCCCTGCTGGCTGCGACCTGATGGCCTAGAGCAAGGTGAATTCCTGTTCTTGCTGGATGTGTGGTCAGTGGTGTTGTGGTGGAACATAGCAGTCTGACAATCCTCCTTCCTGGGGCAATATTTCATGCCTATGCTACTCCCTGCTGGAAATCCTAGGCATCCCCACCGTCTGTGCCAGGGTTATCTCTGATCCAGGGGTCTCAGATTGGGGGTGTCTCTTCTTGTCCTGTTATAGTCTTTCAAACTTCTTATCTGGGGGTGGGTCTGGAGGAACAGAAGATTTAACACCAGGCTGGGCAGCTGGACATCCCTGGGATATTGGATGGTTGGGGCAAACAAATCCCAGGGGCTGATCATACTTTGCACCTACAGCTCCTTTCATCAAAGGATCTCAAGGTACTTTATAAGTGTTAATCCTCCCCGTGCAGTGGGTCAGTATCTTTACCCCAGTTCTATAGATGACTGAGAAACTGGAACACAGAGAGGGGAAGTGCCTCCCCGAAGGCCATGTAGCAAGTCAGTGGCGAAGGCCCCCAGAGCCCTTACTCCCAATCCCTCTGTTCTAACTCCAGCCATGTAGCAAGTCAGTGGCGAAGGCCCCCAGAGCCCTTACTCCCAATCCCCCTGCTCTAACTCCAGCCAGGGTGTTCGTTTGGCACCATTTATTTCTCCCTTCATTTGTGAAAGTCTTTCTCTCTCTCTCTGTCTCTCTGTCTTTATAAAAGTAACATCTCTTTAATGACCAGCCATTCAGCACATTAAACTCCAATTAGGTAACTGGTGAAATGCAATGAAAGCTTTGTAGGCTGCCTTGCACTGCATGCCCAGGGCGGGGGAAGAAGGGCCCAGAGGCGCTCACGTGGCGTTTTCCAGCCTCTCTGTTCAGGAGGGGACTGCTTTTGCAGCGTGGTGGGTGTGAAATGCACAGCTCTCACAGTGTGGGGCTGGATGCGAGGCCACTGGTGGGTTGTTTTCCTGTATGGGAAAGGGACTGCTGGATTGCCATCTTGGGCAATGGAAATCCCCTGTATAACTCCAGCAAGGGCAGGTCTCCCTCGGGAACTCCCCCTGCCACCGAGCCTTCATCTTGCTCTCTGGGTGTAGGCCCATGGCCCATTTAGCCGTTGGCTTCTCTGCTGAGATTGCTAGGAAGGGGGCTGGTTTGGTGTTGGTTAGGAGGGTGGGTTTTGTGAGGTACTCCTGTCTCCTAGGCCTCAGGAAGACTCACCAGCTTGTTTCATGGGGGACTTCTTCAGATGGTAGCAGCCTTGTCAGCATTGACTAAGCTGGATTTGAACTGGGGGCTTTGAGGGGACTCTACTGACTGGTGCCTGTGCCATCCCTTCCCCCGGCCGTGCAGCTAGTTTAGATGATAAGTGAGCAGCTGGCTGTTCAGAGGAACCATGTGTGGTTTCCCCATGGCTCCTGGGCGGTGAACAAACTGCCACAAGGACCAGATTTTAAAACCCACAGTGAATTGGGGCGGAGCTGCCAGGGGCCGAGGCGCATGTAGCTTTGTGTCGTGGTGGGAGGTGTTAGGCCCCAGTGAGTGCTCCTGTGCACTGTCACTGGCTGTGCATGTGGCCGGCATGAAGGGCACGTGTTGGCTACGCCCCATGGAGGCACTTGTGTCTGTGAGCCATTCGAGGGTGAACCGTGAGCGTGCTGCCCGCCATGTGTGTGTCGAGACACTGCACGCTCACTATGGGAGCATTTACACTCTGTCCCCTCTGCTGCGGGCTGGCCTGTGGCTTCAGGTCCTGTTGGAGAGCCAGGCTGATTCTCTGGACTAGTGATGCTGAGGCTGAGTGCTCATCCACCCTGGGAAGTGAGTGCTTGACAGCACCCAAGAGCAACCTTCCCATGCCTGCTAGGGAGTGTCAGAGTATTGACAGGCTCTGTAGGGAGCTGCGTTCTGCCCTGGCATGGTGGGAGAGATGGTGGCTGTGATGTGGGCCAGCAAGTGTCAGGGTGGGGAAGCAAAGTAGCCGTGAATGCCCGGAGGCTCGCTGGGGTGGTTTTAGGCTGCGTTGTGCTAATCAGCTCTTGGCACGTCTCCCTTCAGACAGGAAGCTATGGTCGCTGTGCCCCTGTTCACTGTGCTGCTGGGGCAGGGGACGAGGTGGAAGGTGGGCGAATGTGGCTTTCTATGATGCGCCCCCCCCCCCAATTGCATGTGGTTGTTGAATGAGGGGAGTAACGTTCTGGAGTAGATGGATGGAAGGGGCGCTGCATCTCCTATGCATGACGCTGGAAGCCCGCTAAGCCCCCAGAGGGCTGTGAGAACCAAAGCCCCAGAAATGGAGAGTGGCTGGCAGGGGGCAAGAGGGTGGGCGATGAGCCCCAAAGGCTTAATGTTATAACTTGAGCTGCAGGAGGGCTTGCCTAACCCTGTTCTTGTCTTTCCCTCTAGGGCTGACCAGGCTGCCAGTGTCCACGATGCCCTGAATGTGGAGCCTAGCAGAAGCAGAGGAGACCTTGGCCCTGTAATACCCCCTCCCCTTTCCCCACCCCTCTATTTTGGGTTGGCTTCTATTTATTTTGTTGCTGGGTTTGTGCACGGCCCTGGTCGGATGTGACACTGCTGCAATGTGGCTCCTTCGGCTCAAGCATCACTTGTCCGTTAACATCTGGACCCTGCTGCTTCTGGGGAGCGCCTGGCTACCACTGGCAGAGGGCACCCCCAAATCCCCCTTTAGGACTTTCTCGGTCACAGACTGGAGCTTGACACACCTGGTGGTCCACAACAAAACTGGGGAGGTCTACGTGGGCGCTGTCAACCGGATCTACAAGCTCTCCAACAACCTGACGCTGTTGCGTGCCCATGTGACTGGGCCGGTGGATGATAACGAGAAGTGCTATCCGCCCCCCAGCGTTCAGTCCTGCCCCCATGGGCTGGTCACCACCAACAATGTCAACAAGTTGCTGCTGGTGGACTACTCAGGGAACCGGCTGATCGCCTGTGGTAGTGCCTCCCAGGGCATCTGCCAGTTCCTACGCTTGGACGACCTCTTCAAGCTGGGGGAACCCCACCACCGCAAGGAGCACTACCTCTCCAGTGTCAACGAGTCAGGCACCATGTCGGGTGTCATCATTGAGGTGCTTAACGGACAAAACAAGCTCTTCATTGGGACGCCGATTGATGGGAAGTCCGAGTACTTCCCCACCCTCTCCAGCCGCAAGCTGATGACCAACGAGGAGAATGCGGAGATGTTTGGCTTCGTCTACCAGGACGAGTTTGTCTCCTCCCAACTCAAGATCCCCTCAGACACGCTATCCAAGTTCCCCACGTTTGACATTTACTACATCTATAGCTTCAGCAGCGAGCAGTTCGTCTACTACCTGACCTTGCAGCTGGACACCCAGCTCACCTCGCCTGACTCCACAGGGGAGCAGTTCTTCACCTCCAAAATTGTCCGCCTCTGTGTGGACGACCCCAAGTTCTACTCCTACGTGGAGTTCCCCATCGGCTGCGTGCGGGATGGCGTCGAGTACCGCCTGATACAGGACGCGTACCTCAGCAAGCCCGGCAAGGTGCTTGCCAAGCAGCTGAGCATCTCGGAGCAGGAAGACATCCTCTTCACTGTTTTCTCCCAGGGCCAGAAGAACAGGGTCAAGCCACCCAAGGAGTCCGTCCTCTGCCTCTTCACTCTGAAAAAGATAAAAGACAAAATCAAGGAGCGCATCCAGTCTTGTTACCGAGGGGAGGGAAAGCTGTCACTGCCCTGGCTATTGAACAAGGAATTGGGTTGCATCAACTCGGTAAGTGCCTGCTTAGCTCTAGCTGAGGGGGAGTTCTTTCCGGCCCTGTGGATCCACTCCCCTCACGGTCGCCTGGCTGGGCTGCTTGTCTGTTGTGAGAACTATTGCCAGCGGGGCTGGGGTGGGAGCGCAGGCTGACGCAGGGTATCTAGTGGTATCCCATGCTGAGTATGGAGTACAAGGTCATGACTCTGGTGCGGGATGGTCACTGGGTTTTGGTTTAAACGGGTATTTACCAGTGACGGCTGGCCTGAAAAAAATAGCCCCATACTGAGTTAGAATCCCAGCACATTTGTGGATCCAACCCTGTGTAGTAAATGCTGCTCCCAATGGTGATACAGTGGGCGTCAGCTCTGCCCCAGTTTTACCTAGTGTAATGCTCGGCAGAGGGCTGGGAGGGCAAAAACAGCACCAGAAAGTGCCCAAAGCACCCAGAAGCTTTTTGATGTTAGTGGTTTGGTACCCACCAGATCCTTAGGTAGGAGAGTGCCTGGGGACCTCTTTCTCCTCCTTGTTCCATGCTGGCTCTGGCAGTTCAGGCCTCCTGCTGGGACGGTTGTACCAGCGCTCACAGTGATGCACCATCCAGAGCCTGGGGCCCTGCTAGCGATGCTGAACCTTCCCCAGTTTTGTGGCGAGTGTAAGAGACACCCTAGGGCCCAAGCAGCAGGATGGTGGGAGGTGATACCCTGCAGTGCAATTCCTGGCTGCATACAGTACATGGAACAGCTGACTCCGCTGCAACATGTGATGGGGGGCTGGGAAGGCAGGGATGGAGCTGGGTAGGTGCAAACAATAACTATTCCCCTCTTTGTCTTTTGCAGTATTGACAGATTTGATTCCCGTCTTGGGGGGGGGGGGGATGTGGGGGGCAGGGGCAGCTAATCTCCCTGCAGATCGGACTAATAACATGCTTCAGAGCGCTAACCTTGGCGACGGTGGATTAAAGGGAGCGCAGCCTGCCCTCGTCAGGTGCAGGTGGCTCCTTTCCCGCTGGTCGATGCCAGCGCTCAGAGTGGAGATGGCTGCGGCTCAGCCTGAGAGCCCCGTGCAAATGGCATCCGTGGCTTTTGGGATGGTCAGAGAGAACCTCCAAAGCAGCTGTGTGTGACTGAGAACACAGGGGTGGGTGGGGGTGGAGAAGGTAGAGTCAGAGGGCGGCCGGCAGCCTCGCGGGCTTGCACAGCTTCATTCAGTGTTCGGCGCAGAGGCTCCTAGCTGCCCGCTCCCTGGCCCTTGTTCGTTCTAAGTGCACCTGTTGCACGCCCCGTAGCATGAGTTGGTGGGAAGGGAGTGTGAGAGTGTCTGATCCCTTAATTGCTTCCCTCAGGCCCCCTTTAGAACAGTGGTCACTCCGGTCAGCACCTTCACAACCAAGCCAGGGCAGCTGGATTCAAACACGCTCTGCTCCTGCTGGAAAATGATCATTCCTGTGAGCTGCTGGCTCTGTGCCGGGGGCTGGGTCAAACAGCCAGACCCTGGGCCCTCGCTACAGGGCAGCCCTGCCTTTGGCAGACTCCAGAGAAATGATCTGCCTCTGACATGTGACGCCCTCTCCTCTCTGTGATCTTGCAATACCTGGCGCATGCTTGGCCCATTCAGCCTCTGTCAAGCTGCTCTGTGTCCTCCTATCCTTGCGCTCTGTTCTCATCCTCCCCCACCATGGTATAGGACTATCCCTGAAGGAAGGCTTTCCATGCTGGCTGCTCCTTACCTGGTCAGACCTATTCCACTGACTGATGGAGGCCTGGAAAATCTTCCTGCTCCGTCTCTTTTTAGCTCTTGGCAGCTCATTCATTCCTGAGTGTGCTCGTAGGAGCTGCTGAGAGTGGGAGCAGGTCCGCTCCTGTCTAGATCCCGTGGTGACAATTCCCTAGTTGTTGCCTGGACAGTTCCCAGAATTTGTCGGGGGGTAGAGCTTCTTCCAGAGTGGTTCAGGGCCTGGGGAGCTGGGCTCTTCCAGTTGGGCACCCTTGACTGCCTCTGTCCTCGGGTCAGCATGCAATGAGGCAGCATAAAGAGGGTAGGTCCACGTGCAACAAAAACACCTCGGATTCTCGTTCCCCTGCAAGCCGGGCTGCCAGGCCATGGGAGGTGCCAGGAGCATTGGGAGTGGGGGACTCCACCACTTTCTTTCAGGGCACATGGATGGGGAATGGCAGAGCGTGGGCAGCAGCATGTCCTAGGTGTGAGTGAGGCACTGTGAATGCGTCTGATGTTGAAGGCAGTTAGTAGCAAACCATTGCCCCTGGGGATGTGGGAGCATGCCAGGGCTGTAATCCCTGGGTTGCTTTTTTCCAATCTAGGGAAAGTCTCTTGCCTGTCCCAAGGGAAGCATTTCCCACTGGCCGTTGCTAGCACACGAACGTGGCTGCCGGTTTATTGCCCTGTTTTGCTGCATGAAGTCTGTGGCAAGGGGGTGCTGAGCCTGCTTGGTTTATGAACTATTGCCGGCTTCTCTTCCAGATATTATAAAATATAAATGGTCACAGGGAGGCTATTTCAGCTACTCGGGATGATGGGAGTGTAATATATCCAGGCATCTCTAAACTGGCATGGCCTGGGCAGCCTCTCGCAGCGTAGGCTAAAGGCTGCCGGCCAGATCCTCAACAGGGGTAAATCAGCTGAGCTCCATTGAAATCAATTTAGCTACACCAATTTACCCCAGCTGAGGATCTGGCCCAGCCATAAACGGGTGTATGACTTCACCGGGCTATACACCTGCTTACACCAAGGCTGAATTTAGTCCCTTGTCAATGCTAGCCTGGTGCAATGGTTTAATGCTCTAGCCTCTCTCTTTTGAGGCCTGGGCTTCCAGACTTTGCTAGATCACCATGAAATGACTGTTTTCAAGCTAGTCCAGGGTGGGTATTGATCAAATAACACAAACTGGCATGGTTGGCTTTCCCTGATCAAGGGAACTCAGCTCCAGAATAAGCAGGGGCACCTGCAGGTTAGGACAGTGGGGCACTGGCAGAGTGGTGGTGTGGCCCAACCTGGAATATCCGGGGGGCTGCAGGCCAGCACTGAGGGGGGTTGACAGAGCCTGGCTTGTGGATAGCAGAGGGGCTGTAAAGCTGTGTGAGGGGAGCTTGCTCTGCTGTTCTGTGCTCTGGCCAGCAGAGCCTGTGCCCTGAGTTCTCCTAGAGCAGCCCCTGTGTACCCTTTGTGCTGGAGTCTGTGGGATTTGTCTCTTCAAAGCCATTGTGCTGTGCTCAGAAAGCCGGTAGATAGGGCCTGGTGGTGCCCGTCTCCCAACGAGCTTCACTGTGAGCTACTTATTGCTGGCATGTCAGGGGATTAAGGAGTTCAAAAGGCGCCTCTAAATAGTCCCTCAGCCCCCTAAGTCCCACTCTGTGGAGCGTGGCCATCAGAGCCCCTTGCATTCCCCCTTCAAGGGGGAGCCAGCCATAGGACAGCTGTCCCTGCTGAACGGCCTTTCTGATTGGCTCTTGGGGCACTGGGGAGTGCAGCAGGAGCAATGCCCGAGTGAGGGTCTCCCCTTGGTTTAGTGCCCAGAAGGAGTAACACAGGGGAAGTCTTTTTTTTTGGCCCGTGCTGTTTCTCAGGTGCCCTCTTGCAGATCAGTCACCACGGGGATGTGGGGCTGTCCTGTGGGAGCCATGTGCCTTAACCGCATCCAACCTGGAATGCATTGGCATCCTTGTGGAATTGTCCCAGGCAGCCCCTCCTTTGTCCTGTCCCGAGCTCGGAGGGAGACAGCTAACAGCTGCCTGACAAAGTAAAGGGTTTGCTGTCAAGAGCACTGGGCTCACAAATCTGATTTTGGCTTCAAACTAATTCAATTCTGGTGGAAAATGATGAAATCGTTACACTGCTGCCTGCTGGGTCACACGACTGCTGACTCCGGGAACGGAGCTGCCTGCCTCCCTCTCTTGCTCTGTCTCTCGCTCCCCCGTTCCCTCTCTCTTTGCTGTCCTTGGCCCGCACAGCTGTCTTGGGGACCCAGCTGTGCCTCGGTGCAGCTCTTCTGTTCCCTTTGGGCTTTTCCTAAGCAAGGCGCTGAACAAGAGAGAGAGAAGTGTAAGGAAGGGAATGTCACCTTGTCCCTGAGCTGGTGGTGTGTGTGTTAGGAGGGTGGTTGTGCCAGTCAGCCAAAGGGGTTGATGATGCTGTAGCCAGGTCTCCTGCTGGATTGGCACAGGTTGGCCGGTTCGATATATGAAATGAGCTGTGCAGAGGGATGTTCTGAGCATCAAGGACTTCAGCCTGGGTAGGGGGGCTGTGTGCAAAGCTAGATCTTTAGCATTATTCTGAATCCAGATGGGCTATTCCCCCGGAGCTCCCTGATCTCTCCTGGGCAGTGTTAGTGGGCTCCGGGGTGCTTAGTGGCCCCTCAGGGAGCCTAAGCAAAGTGTGCCGTGCAGATGAGCATTCAAAGTGCAGCTGCCCTTGGCCTCCTCATCGGTAGCTGCAGCAGAACAAGCAAGGGGCGAATGGGACATGGAAGCTGAGCTCCCCTCTCTCTGCTGCTAGAGGGCCCTGTCCTGTGCCAGTGTAGGGGGAGGCAGGGCAGCATGGGTGTTTGTGGCTGTTCTACTCTGCAGATTCCTGTGCTGAGAAACATCTCTCTGAAACATTAAGAAGATGGTTATTAGTGGATCCCTTGTGTCTCTTTCTCCCAACCTCTCCCCTTTCACTCCTTTTCTTGCCTTGGCACAAAGCGAGAGGGAAGGAGCAAAGAATAAACAATCCGGAACGCAGCCGTTTGCTCACAAAAGTAACAAGCACACAAGAAAACCAGTCTGGCTGGAAATGGAACCACAGAATCAGTTCTGGCCAGTTGTTCTTCTCCAAACTTCCCTGGCTTCTTCGCATCCTTGCCAGGATCCAGCTTGGCTTTGGCTGGCTGGCTCAGGGCAAATTCCTGGTCCTTGGGGAATTGAGATCTGATGGCAAGGCTGCCCCCATGTGTGGCCTTTGTGCCCTGGCTGGGAACAGGATTAATTCCGCCCACTTTTAGGAGAACACAACAAAGA